GCCTCTCGTCTGCTCTCAGGTTCCCAGACTGCGACGAGCCCTACCCCCGCCCCGTGGACCTGCTGTCCGGCTCGGACGCGACCGAGTCCCCCGTCTCCGTCCAGAGGGACTACGGCTTCTGGTGTCCCCGCGAGCTCAAGATCAGCCCCGAGCTCGGTTACTCCTTCATGGGGGTGCGCGACTGCTCTCCTCCGTGTCCCAACATGTACTTCACACGTGAAGAGCTGACGTTCGCCCGCTACTTCATCGGAGTCGTGTCCATCGTCTGCCTCTCTGCCACGCTCTTCACCTTCCTGACGTTCCTCATCGACGTGTCGCGATTCCGCTACCCGGAGCGCCCGATCATATTTTACGCCGTGTGCTACATGATGGTATCGCTGGTGTTCTTCCTGGGCTTCCTGCTGGAGGACAAAGTTTCCTGTAACGCAGCGAGTCCTGGGAGGTTCAGGGCGTCGACGGTGACTCAGGGCTCCCATAATAAGGTCTGTGATTGGGCTTCAGCCCTGCTGGTTCCTCCTCCTCCACACGCACACATCCACACCCACACATCCACACGCACACATCCACACCCACACGCACACACCCACACGCACACATCCACACGCACACATCCACACACTGTGTTCTTCTCTTCGTTGGCAGGCCTGCACGCTTCTCTTCATGGTGCTCTACTTCTTCACCGTGGCCGGCAGCGTGTGGTGGGTCATTTTAACCATCACCTGGTTCCTCGCTGCTGTTCCTAAGTGGGGCAGTGAGGCTATAGAGAAGAAGGCCCTGCTGTTCCACGCCTGCGCCTGGGGCATCCCCGGCGTCCTCACGGTGACTCTGCTCGCCATGAACAAGATCGAGGGAGACGGCATCAGTGGCGTTTGCTTCGTCGGGCTCTACAACTTAACAGCCCTGCGCTGGTTCCTGCTGGCGCCGCTGGGACTGGATGTAGTGGTGAGGAAGAGCGTGGCAGAAAGTCCTGTAACTTTTTGTCGCTGTGTCTGTGCAGCGACACGTCGCTAGTTCTTAAGTTTGCAAAACTGCCGGGACGAGAAAGACGTGCGAGTCTGAGTGAAACCTGAAGATGAATTCATACTTTACAAAATACGTGTTTTTGTTCTGTTTACCTTTGTTTTCATTTCTGCGCAGCGACTTGCACAGATTTATCCGTTTATGTTGCAAATTGAATAAAATGAAACTTTTTTCTTCATTCATCGAGTCGTCGATCAGAGCGTCAGTGTGACATCACGTCTGTGTCTCCAGGTGGGCGTGGTCCTGCTGCTGGCAGGTATCGCTGCTCTTAACAGAGTCCGCATGGAGATCCCGCTGGAGAAGGAGAACCAGGAAAAGCTGGTGAAGTTCATGATTCGTATCGGCGTGTTCTCCGTGCTCTACCTGGTTCCACTGCTGACCGTCCTGAGCTGCTACCTTTATGAGAGCAGCTACAGGCCCGTCTGGGAGACCACCTGGGTCCAGGAGACGTGCAGAGACTACCACATCCCCTGTCCCTACCAGGTAAACAATAATAACAACGGATGGAGATGTTTGATCGTTTCACATACATGACACATTGTTTGAGTTACATTATAAATCGCAGGTGCAATAATAATAACAATAACAACAATAACAATAACAACAACAATAATAATAATAACAATAACAATAACAACAATAATAATAATAATAACAATAACAATAACAACAATAATAATAATAATAACAATAACAATAACAACAACAATAATAATAACAATAACAATAACAACAACAATAATAACAACAACCCAAAGAACACTGATTGATTCTCAGGTTCGAGTTCTTCACCGTTACACAATCGAGGGATCAGGAGAGCTGATGTAACCAGACTGTGTGTTCATCACAGCGTTGTGCGCACACACACACACACACACACCTGCGATCGCTGGTATATATGAGACGATTTGGTAATGCGCCTCCAGCATCAGCACGCACAGCGTAGCTCCTCCCACAGAGCCGTTAATATTTCAGACGTCTCTCGTTCTGTTTCAGCAGCGATCGCCTCCGGCGCTGCTCAGACGCTCAGTGTTGCAGAGGCAGACGGTTTATCGTCTGCAGTACTGTGGAAGAGACGTTTTAACTCTCAGGTTCGGATGTTGGTCTCTGATACTTTTACCTCCCAGTGTCAGAGCTCAGCCTCATGACGCTGTTAGCCACGGGAAGAGCTGCGTGTCCGAGACGCAAATGAGACGTTTGTGATGCAAAGTTGTCCTGTAAACACTGTGTGCGCTCTGACTCGCTGCAGTGCACTACAGAGATGCTGCTGGCTGTAAAGATTTTTCAGTAGGCGTTCACACACGCGTGCATCAGCAGAAAGCTTCGACTGAACTATATTTGTATGTAGAGCGCTCTCCTTCAGGCTGAGCGCTCTGCAGAGCTCCTGATGCTCAGTGAGCTCACACGGCTGGACTGTGGTCATACAGCCTGAGTAATGAGGATGCTGCCTGCAGTCGTGCATCGAGACTCTTATCTCTGTGCGGTAATGAGTTCTTCTGTGGATCCTGAGCCTCGAGGCTCTCCGCCCGGCTCGCTTATAACGAGGCCATCATGACGACGTCTGTGTGGACGGGAAGCAGCACTCCGGTGACAGAGTGGCTCTGTGCGCTTTCCTAAACTTCAGCTGGAAATAAATGACCTCGTTTTAACTGTGACTGAGGAAATCTGTCGTTTACACGCCGACAACAACACGCGTTAAGTTTGGGACGCTGCTCTGTATCTGCAGCTACAGTTAGCTTAGCACGCATGACTTTGGACTGTGTGAGGAAAGCTGCAGACGTTGTTTCTGCACCTGCATGGATGTAACTGCACCGCTACTTTACCTTTTATTGCTCGCTGTGTTCACGTTTGACCCGATGGGATCATCAGACACAAACCTCCACCTTTCACAGCAGCAGCAGCGTGTTTGCACAGAAACAGGAGGAGGTGCTGGTGTCTGTTAGAGATGGATGACACTGTGTTTATGCCCTCAGCAAGGTTCCTCAGCAACAGTGATGATGTGGAGAACACACACACACACACACGCACGCACACACACGCACACACACACACACACACCTTAATGAGCTCGTTCATGCTGATATTTGCACAGACTGACTGATGGGCTCCACGCTGCTGAACACTGATGATGATGTACATGATATATTTTTTTACTTCAGTAAGACCTGTGAAGGCACGGGGGGGTGGGGAGGTGTCACTGCACTAACTCCACCCTCTTCTGTTTGTTGCAGGTGGAGCAGACCAGTCACCCCGACCTGGTGTTGTTCCTCATAAAGTACCTGATGATGCTGATTGTGGGAATCCCCTCGGTGTTCTGGGTGGGCAGTAAGAAGACCTGCTTCGAGTGGGCCAGTTTCTTCCACGGCAAGAGACGTAAAGAGTACGTATGTGTCGCACTGTGACGGCGTCTGTGTGGCTTCAAACTGATGTTGCTAAATATAAATAAGCTCACATTAGGTTTGTCCCAGTATTTACAACTCAAAGCTTCATCTCTCTGATTTAGTTTTAACTTCAGAGCTGTGGATGCAAAATAATAAAAAAATAATGAAATAATAATAATTTAAAAAAGTATCCAAGTGTAGTTTGGATGAGACACACAGGACGTGGCAGCAACATCAGCAACATCAGCAACATCACGTGGCTGCGCCCAAACTGGGAGCTGGTTCCACAGACGAGGGGCCTGAAAGCTGAAGGCTCCGGTTCCCATTGTACTTTTAAAAAGGAAGCAGAAGTGACCCTGAGAGCAAACTGCTCCATCAGCATCATTTGGTGATATAAGATCTGATTATTCAGGATAAATAAGAATTTAATTATAGATTTAACAGCAAAGAGACACTAATGTTGGGGAAACAGCACATCGTGCAGATAGACAGCAGACTGGAGTTTGTGCTGTAAATGTGGACTTCCTGTCTGTTCTGTAGTCAATGGAGACGCTGAACAAAGTCTCGCCTTCTCTTCTCGAAACACAGTTCAAACATTTTACAGCAAACTGAAATGTTTCCACATATTCTGATTCAAATATTGTTTTAAGGAGACCTGCATTTCATTTCTTTTGTGTTGCGCGTGCAGCAGCTGATGGGCGCTCGGCTGTTTCAGCTGCTGACGCTCTGAGCTCCTCCCACACGGTCCCAAAATAAAAACACGTTTGCTTAGTTATCACATTATAAATGCAGAGTGTGCGACTGTCTCACACGTATTAATCCTGATGTGAGGACGTGAGCGCCGAGCTGATGATCCTGATGTCAGTCTTCAGTTTTGTGTCCCTGCAGTGACGCCTCCTCTGCACCACTCCCCCTCCAAACAGAGCATTAACCCCCTCTCCCCTTGCCTGCTCCACACATTCCTCAATCCTCTTCTACCACACCCACCGCCCCTCCACCTTCCCCCTCTCCCTCCCTTCCACCCTGCATCTTTCCCTGCCACCCCTCCCCTCCTCCTCTTCCTCCACCTGCTGCAGCAGGATGGTCAACGACAGCCGACAGGTGCTGCAGGAGCCCGACTTCACCCAGCTGCTCCTCAGGGATCCCAACACCCCCATTGTGAGGAAGTCACGGGGCACATCCACGCAAGGCACCTCCACCCACGCCTCCTCCACCCACCTGGCCATGCTGGACGAGCCGCCGAGCGCCAGCACCAGCCGAGCCGGCTCCGTGCGCAGCGCCCGCTCCAAGATGAGCAGCTACCACGGCAGCCTGCACCGCTCGCGAGACGGCAGGTGGGTCCCGACGTTGCGGTCTTTCATTAACCCCGCCCACCCGCACGGCCCCGAGGCTCATTTCTGCTCCTCTCCATTTAGATATACGGCCTCCAGTTTCAAAGCGGCGGACGAGCGGCTGCCATACGGGAGCCTGCCTCGTCTAAACCACCAATCGCAGTCCAGGCACTGCAGCACCAATCACCTCGACAGCCTGTCGCGGCACGGCTCCGCCCACAGGCTTGAGAGCCAGTCGCGCCACAGCAGCATCAGGGACCTGAGCAGCGGGGCCACGGCGGTTCTCGGTGTGCCCAGAAACGGGATCCACAGAGTCCTGGAGGAGGATGGAGCGACCGCCTGAAGGGGCGGAGTCTGAGGAGGAGCATGTCGACGAGCAGCCACTGTGATAGGTCTGGTTACAGAGGGGGGGGGCACGGGACAGAAATCTTTGCCTTAAACATCCTCACAGCTTTATGACGCAGCCTCCAGTGTGAATCTTTTTAAACTCCACCCAGTCGGGGAACGCCGCCGCCGCCGTTGGACCCAAATGACTGAGCCAGACAACTAAACGTGACCGACTGCACGACGCGGCTTTCTTTGTATAAAAGGACTTTGATAACGAGATATTTGGAGCTCCGTCCTCTAGTCTTTAGTGTTTGGGAGGTTTTTGGGGTGGGGGCGGGGCTTAGATTTCATTACCCTTGTTCCATGTTTTCTTCTATTTATGAGGGGCAGCCAATCAGGAGAACTGAAGCGACTGGTTTCAGTGAGAGGATGAAATGACTGAAAGTTCTCAGATCCTCCACAGCTTTTATATCTCTGCTGAATCTGAACCTGCTGCTCTGCACACGAAGGCGTTTTAAGTCTGCTGAACTTTCTAGAAGCTTCGCCGCATTTTAAAAGCTGGATTTTAGTGAGTTTTTATTGCACATGTGCAGTAACGTTTGCAACGATACAAGGAAATCATGTCAGTCTGTGCTTTGCTGTTTTAAACCCAAGGGCTGAAATCCAGAGTATACATGCTGAATCCAAACTCCTGCCTTATGACGAAGAGAACAAACCCAACAGATTTAATGACCTCGAGCAGATCACCAGCGACCTTCATGGAGCTGCACGGACAAAGCTTACCTTCCCTTTCCGTCCGAACACGTTCGCTTTGAGCAGATTTCTTGTTTGCAAACGTGTCCTTACTAAGGTTAGAGCAACGTTTCCTCCAGAGGCAAAACATGTTCATAGATGTAAAAAGTGAATTCCTGTTGGTGATTTGTAATAAAGTTTCAAAGAAATCAGAAGCTTGTGATGTTTCCTGAGGAGAAATGAGCACACGGCAACACTGGAGTGTATTTGTAACAGCCCTCCGCTTTATTGAAATACATCGGAGTCAGGTTAATATAATGAGTTCTCCACGTAAGTGTGGCAGCCGCTTCCATACATTATTTTTGTTTTGACCTTACACCTTAAATATTTTTGTGCAAAAAAAGAATCTACATCAGCTGTAGTGGGTTATCCTCAGTAAAACACCCAAACCGCTCCAAAAAGAAAACGACAAACCAAAATGATTACATCTATAACATGCAAAACTGTACAAATTATTACAAAGCAATCCTAGAAAACAAAGTGGAATATGATATGAAAGAGCAAAACAATATAGAAGGTACTGGAGATAAGACCTCACTGAAATGTAAAGGCGTTTCCGTTTCTTTAAAATGCGGCACTTCGGCCGTGAAGCCACCTGTCACCCGATACTCACTGTCTCCACCCGGGTCACATTCCCTCACTTACTGCTGCCCATCCATCAATGAATCAAACGCACCTCGATCACGCTCGTCTGACTGAAAATTTGTTTCCTGAGTTTCCCCTTCTCGCTCTTTGAACCGGGACATCTAGGATCAGATTTTCTGCACAGGCCAAAAATGAAAAACAGACGCCGCCTGGCGAACACCTCACGCCAGCTCGTCGTCCTGCAGATAAACTCGTCGCAGGAACGAAGGAGTCGCTAGCTTAAAAAAAGGTCTAAGATATCTGGAGTAAAACCAGCTGGGAGCTCTAAACCTCTTCAAATTAAAAAATAATAAAATAAAAATAACACCTGGAATGAGCCGTTTGCAGCTCTTTGCTGTGTTTCCACAGGGGGAATGAAGAGTTTCCCTTTCTGACAAACAGGAATCATGTGGAGCGAGGCTAAAACCCTCTGTGGGTTGATGCCACGCCGCCGTGTCCCTCGGGTCAAAATGCCTACAGGAGATGAACAGAGGTAACAGGTTTTTGGCTGTGAATGCCCCGCTCTGCAGCCAGAAGCTGCCACACCGTTTCCCCCCTCGTCTATTTTTTAAAGGCCTTTCCACTGACAAAGTAAAGTAAAGTAAAGTAGAGTAGAGTAGATTAGTGCCGTGGAGGCGGCTCAGAGCTCCGGCCCTGTTCAGTTCACACAACAACAACAGGCTGAGGTCATTTACTCCGTCGCCTCCAGAACAAACCAGCTGTGACGTCCTCGCACTGTTTACATTCTCATTTTTTTTATCCCTCTTACAAATTTTCACGACTCATTAAAGCGTTGGAGCGAAGTCGCGGCGCCTCCCTGTTTGTCCGTATTTGCTGAAACAGAGCTCAGCGACCTTTCAAACACCGCCAACAGTCAGAGGAGCACAACAAGGCAACAACCGCCTGTGTGCGTGTGTCTGCGTACAGGCAGCAGTGCCGTTATAAGTCAGCTTTCCCCCCTGATATCAGGTGGAGGGATGCACACGTCATAGAAACAACATGAAAACAAACAAATCTAAAATAAATCAGTAAAAACAAAAGAAGTGGTTTTAAAATGGCTTCGAGTGCGAAACAACCCGGAATCACTCCAAACAAAAGCGGGAAAATAAAGGAGGAGTTTTCCGTCCCGTGTAGTTCTCTATAGTATTTCCTTATCATATATTACTCTCTACTCTGAACCTATGTACATGACTGTGACGGGAGTTTTGGCTGGAGCGTCCACGACGGAGGACACGCCCCCGATGATGTCGTGTTTGTCGTGTGATGTCACAGGAGCCGCTGATGGTGGAAATTAAAAATGTTATAAAGTCACTGCACTTAGTATCAGGAGCAAAAAATAAACGTAATTCCTTTTTTTATTTTTTTGTTTTTTTTGCAGCACCCAGAGAGAAAGCAGGTGAGGGGGGGGCAGCGCTCCCTTTCCTCGTCTATGATCGATAAATAAATTAAAACACTGTCCCCTGAATCCCGGCGGGTCCTATGTACAAGTACAAACCTTCTGCTCTCGATAATATTTCTTCTTTTTGCATCGTGACTTTTTAAGAGTCTCAGTGAATCTCGACAAGTTGACCAAAAAGAGCCAAAATGGGAGCTTCCTGTTCCTGCATCACCTGCCCCACATCACACACACCTCTCACACACAAGCCAAACATCAGCACCCACATGTACACTGATAGCATTTGATAGCTTGTCCCTCGCTGCCTAGCGAGTGTTTCGGCCCCACTGTGGAAGAACGCTGACACAGTGTGGGGGGGTAAAGTGGGACAAATCTTTGGGAGGGAGTGGTGGGCAGGAGGTGCAGTTCTCTGGGCAGTGAGGGAACAATATTCAAAAAAGGAGGAGTTGGAGAATTTGAGTCCTGTGCTGTCGGTCGGTGGGTCGGTTGATGGGTCGGTCGGTGGGTGGGTGAGGGGGGTTGGATGGAGCGCTGGGGGCTCATGTGTCCCAGCCCATCCTTTCTGTGCTCTCCAAGGACAGGGACTTGGTCTTGTGTGGGGAGGCCGGGCTGGGAGGGCTGCTGAAGGTGGAGCTGTTGGAGGCCGTGGAGTGGCGCGGGGAGTCCGAATCCTGGAGGAAAGAGGGAAGAGAAATTAGACGATCCCTCCCAGAGTAAACTGGGACGCGTACGACAGATGAAGCTGCGCCTCTGTCTGCTCCTAACAGCTGATGACGAGTGCTTGCTGCACATGCACTGCTCATTAATCTGCTTTGTGTGACGGCGGGGCAGACAGGAAGTCAGACTGAGTGACGCTGACCCGCCTCGTCTTCCGCTTGTGCAGATGAACGGCTCGATTGACCAGAAATGATCAGCTGAAGGAAAACAAACATGCAGGCAGGCCGAGCTGGTGTGTGCGTGTGTGTGTGCGTGTGTGTGTGTGTGTGTGTGTGTGTGCGTGCGTGTGCTTGCTTCACCCTTGTACAGCGTGTGAGGCTCCTTCCAGCTCACTGATGTGTTTCATACAATGTACGTTTCTTACAGTTCACTGATCCAATCGTCTATTTATATCCCACCTATAAAACACTAAAGCGCAGTCACACTACGGCTGCATGAGTCCGTGTAGATGGGCAGCAGAGGCGCAGCTACACTGTGCTCCCGCCCACATCGACCTGACGCGCTCAAGCATGCACACTCTTGTTCTCCATCATGAGAGAGTTTTTTCCTGTGTGACGGCTCAGTCTTGTGACCAGGGCGTCCTGGCTGCACCACCAATATAACAGGAAACATCATGCATTGAAAACTCGTGTGGATCATTAATGCCAAAATATTTATGTTTAGTTTGTGACATTGCTCTGTATTGATTTCCCATCAGCTGCTGAGTAACCAGAGTTGTGCTCTGAGCTCACAGCTCCTGGTTAGGAAACGTGGGCGGGCCATCGGGGGGCGTATGGAAGCACACATGCTCTGTGATTAGCGATGGTGAAGCAGCGCCGCGCCACCATCGGCAACGAAAGGCGATGACACGAAGGCCAGATGGTGCAGCTGAGAGATGCAACAAACCAATCAGAGGCTGCTGATGTGACGGCGCTGAAATGGTGCAGCGAAGGCGACTCAGTGATGTGTGTGTGTGTGTGATGCACAGTGACACGGTGCTCTCAGTTGTGTGTTTGCAGCTGTTGACGTTACCTTCATCTTACTAAGCAGGGTCCTTAAAGCCCTTTTCAGATCGGGGGTCTTCTCCGACGGGGAGACTGCCTGCCACTGCAGAGGAGAGTTCAGACTCAGCGCCCAGCCCACAGACAACATGCTGGGGTGGGGAGGGATGAGGGGGAGGGAGGGGGGACAGGCACGAAGCAGGGAACAGCTGAGTAAGGATGGAGGGAGGCGAGATGGGGCGGGATGGAGTTGACAACGTCCAATGGGAAGGGAGGACCAGCAGGGGGAATGACGGGGGTGGGGGGGGCAGACGTCGCCCATAATTGCTGTTTTTATTTTTTTCCTCTCGATCAGTCACTTCATGCGAGTGAAAACAACTTAAAGCGATGTTGCCGGAAACCATTATGAGCGATGTTGCACCACCAGTGCCAGACTGGAGTCTGATTGGCTCTCATCGCCCTAAAAGAGCTAAAAGCAAGAATCACGTCTCTACTGACATCACAGCGAGCTAACACCTGAGCGATGGGATGAGCAGCGCGGCCTGCAGGTGTCGGGATGCTGATGGAGGAGTTTTGTTCAAAGGGGGGTAAAGGCAGTTTCTGCTGATGACGTCTACCTGCTAAACGTTCACGACAGGAAAACAACGAGACGAAGCTGATGTTCGACACGATGCTGCAGCTTCGAGCCAACGGCCAATAACAACTGAGTTAATGTTAGTTTGTTTGTTTAATACTCAGAGTCACACGAAGCTGCGTGTTCACTGACCTCTCTGTCGAACTGTGAGAGCGGAGCATCACCGCAGTCCACCCCTCCGCCTGAGGACAGGGAGCTCTCGGAAGGAGAGGTCATGGTCTGGCGTTTGGACCCGTAGCTTCCTCCTGACAGCTCCCGGCGCAGAGCGCTGCCGTTCTGCGAGGACGAGCCTGCAGGGACGAGAGGAGGCGGCGAACATGAAGCCACAGACGGACGAACCTCCCTGAATGTGAGCTCTAACACGACTGTACTCACGTATGCCCAGCCCGCTGCTGGCGCTCATGGAGCGGCCCGGCTCGGCCCGGTTCTTGGTGATGGAGGGAATGCTGACGGAGCCGCTGAAGCCCGCTCGGCTGTCCTGAACACGGACGTTCTGGTTTAAACACGCAGAAAACACACAGAGTGCAGTGCGGGGGGAGGAGTGAGGAGGGTGCATGTAAACACACACACACACACAACATGATGCATACAGACACACAACTCAGGACCAGACAGTGTCAGTGTGGGGGGGGGGCTATGTGAACACGTCAGGGGTCGCACGCTCACGTGACAGGATGAGGAAGCGTGTTCGTGTGTTTGCAGATGTACCATGGGCAGGTCCTTCAGGATCTGGATGCCGTCTCCTGGTCCCATGTGAGCCACGTGGTTGAAGTTGGTTGGATTGGAGATCAGTTTGTTCCTCATCTCAGGATCTCGCAGCATCTCTCTGGAATCACAGACACAGAGCGTCAAAGAGAGACGGAGGCGTTTCCTCCCTACAGTGATGATGCTAATACAGCAGGTTCTGTTCAGCCCATCATCAGCGTTAGAAAGCAGCAGAGTTCATAAGAGAGGGGCGATTAAAGAAATCTATGCTAT